AGCTGTTCAATGTTTACTTGCTTTCACTACTCTCTCTTTTACGTCTGTGTTTTTCTCTCTTCACACATTCACACGTTCCCGCGTTCCTTCCTCGCTTCACCTTCTTCGCTTTTTCCGCGTCCACCTCCGAGTTTGCCTGGCAAGCTATCCGCAACACCACCGTCCACCTGACCCAAGCAAGAGACAAACGAGCATCAGCCAGTGGAAAGAAGCGAGGCAATGGCAACGATAGAACTAGCGTTTCAGGGGTATTATAATACATAGAAATATATTGGTATAGAACGCCTTTGCTATGCAGTATTCAACCATTTGGTGGCGGAGGCCATCGGATACCTCGTATGCAGCCGCCGAGCTCCAACCGCCGAATAGTGTAAGAAGACAAACAAACGATAGACCCCGCTTTGTTTGTGCTTCTAGCATCTACTACTTGGACGAGAAGGTGGGCCAAAGGTGTCAGCATAACCTTTAGATTGTCAAGACCGGGAACTCAAACTCCGGCGTGATCCTGGATCGTCTCTTCGATGGATGGAAACAGTTTCATGCGGTGGAGAGAAAGCACTGGTGAAGCGAACCAATGTAGCTAGCGACAACATTTTCGCTGAATATAACGTTGTTTTCGCTCTATCCCGATTCGCCTGCTACGCCTTCGGTTTCAATTGATTCTGCTTGGGTGCCTGCACCTTCGCTCTAGTTGCAGGAGCGAACGAAGGATCATACATATATATACTTATTGGAAAAAGTAGCGGAAGTCCAGCTTACCTAAGGTAATCTGAGTCCGTGTCTGCGACGAAGATGACGGGTTCTTCTCCATCTCGTACCAACGCGAAGCTTCGCGGATAGCGAGCCTAGGGACACGCAGGTATTGATGGTTAGCAGTGAGGTGCAAACGCGCGGCGCCATTGCCCGATCATACTGTGGACGTAGATCGTTTACATGGGCAGGCCAAGGTGCGGGTACACCGCCTGGTGAGAGGAGGAGCGAAAAATCTGCCTAAGCAAATGGTGAAAAACGAAAAGTTGTGGCAATTGGTTCCCTGAACGATGAGATTCCAAGTGGTCTATGTTTCTCTAATGCTGTTGCGGGCCTCCCAGGCGGATCGGAGTCCCTGTGGTAGCCCCAAAAGGCATCTTCATGCTACTCTTCCTTGACAATATTCGTTGTGCATTCTTTGCATACGACAGTCATCGCAATGCTAACGCCGCTTCCAAAGGTGCGTGCCCGCACCTAATGCATAACACAGGTCCACCAGGAGCAACCGGAAGTTGTACTTGAGTGTGTCTCTAGCGTGCAATAGGTTCTGCATCTCCACTCACCAGTTGTGCGCATACGCTCGCCTCAGTCGCATCTGTCGTGTTGCGAACCCCCTCCCCAATCTCCTCACCATTGCCGTTACCAGGGAAGAACGTGAGCGTCGGTTGGAACACTTGGGGAACGAAGGACAGGGTGGCCATATCCCACAAGAGGTCTTCGAACAGCTCAATCCCTTGAGCCGAAGAAGCCTTTTTTGCAGAATGTTGAGAGTCAAATATGTCCAAGAGGAGTGCAGGATGGATGGGCGGGTGGGTGGGCTTATGCGAGGTCGTTGATGTTCGCTCACTTGTTTGTCGATGCGCGTGGTTGCTCTCTGCCGGAAATAAGTTATTGCCTTCCTTCTTGAGGCTGGTGCCACCAACCGTTTCGGCGTCGCCGGTGATGATTTACGCTCTTGTTTTAATAATACGTGTTTTGCTCTCGTTGGGACTGGTCGTTCGATAATCCAGCGGCGCTACTTTCGTATCTATGTCGATTGTTCAGGAGGAGTCTGGCGAACGTCAAGGCAAAAAAACAGCAAGAGAGAGAGATTCGAGGGAGGATCGAAGCACTTTTGACCAAACCTGGTCGAGGATAACGCTGAGCTGCTTCCCGGCGATGGCGCCAATCCCTCCCTGCCTTTGCATATCTAGGACGATGGACTGCAGGACCTGCAACGCCCCTTGGAACGCGCCAATACGATGCCCCAGAGTCTTCGAGTCTGCCGATACCACGCTGATGAGCGACGGGATATTCTTGGTGTCGAACTGGTTGTCCAGCTTAGCCAAACTTAGGGAAAAGTTTGGCGTGACCTGTCACACAAAGCACGTATTTTGGTGTGAGCGTTTGCCCTGTCACAATAAATACGTTTTTTCGACTTTTCCTGAATCGTTGCATGTTTGGGGGCAGACAGACACGATCCACAGACTCTTGGTAGGTTGTGAGCTATAGCGCATACGAAGTGTGTTCTCTTGAAAAACATTCCACATTCGAGTGAAGCAGGAATCTCATGTACGCGTATCGGAAGAGCTTCCATCCCTCATTTTTCACCTCCACTACATGTACAGAACGAGGACTTGTGGAAAGTAAGAGATGGCCTGCAAAGACCCACCGGAGTGTGGACAATGAAAGTTTCATACTTGGATGAAGAGTGTTGTCCCTAAACGCACGTAGCCCTGTAGGGTCGTGAACCGACCTTTGTGGGCGAGATTATGTTGTACCTGGTAGTTGGTTTTAGATAGTCATGCAGACTAGGAAGAACTTTGGGGGCACATACGAACGGGCTACAGACGCGTCGACACGACGTCCGAACGAGTGTTCCGTGCAATCACACCGACAGGGGACTAGATTTGGTGCATGCACGTGGCCAAGGCGTCGAGCACAGGTAATTGCGCCCTACCTGATCTCAACGGACCATAGATGTCCCATCAAAATGATTGTAACGACGTACCTGGACGAGCCGTGGGCCCGTATGACATCGCCTCCTCGACCATTGTTAATCTAGTAGTGTCCACCCACCTTAAAATTGATCGTGATGTACCCTAGCAGTTGGTCCTGGATCGACACGTATTCCGTCTCCTTGATCTCCCCAGCTACCTGGAAATCCCCCTCACCCACCCGACCACCGAGCCGAAGCCGAGCGTACCCGTACGTTTTGCCGGTGGAGTCCGCCACAAGCACCCGCACGAGCAAGATAACACTGGACGAAAGCATGAACCGTACACAGCCCGACCCTTGCCAGTCTTCCTGCCCAGGAATGAAGCTAGGTTTGGGATGGGTAATGGTCGAACGCCGAGGGGGTGGGGTGGGGGGATAGAAACGACTGGTCAGGGCTGACAATCACGGAGGTCTTCCGACTACACTAGGCAAGTATGCCCTCTTCCTGTATGGGACGAGGGACATGGCTATTCCTACTATTGCGCAGAAGTAGAGTACGCTCATCGTCAGCACCAGCTCGTCGACAGCAGTTGCGTTGTGCTGCCTTCAAATTCATGTTTCGCACACCCTCTTTTGCACACCGTTCGTAATTTCAATGTACACAACTCTCGAATCTGTTCAGATGCGTGGATTAGTTGAAGAAACAAACGAGTCGAAACTAGCACAATATTGGCGAAGGTAGAGCAGTATATGGATGAACTTCCTGGAGTCTTGTAACCCTTACACACGTGAACGGCAAAATATTTAATGTTCTTTTTTAAGTATCAATGAACGATGATCACAAGCACTAAAACCGAGAAAAACCAGCTCCGCCGTGTCGATGCTGGTAGCAGCTCTGCATGCCAGTGCAGCGAAACAACCAGTGACTATTGTGTCGAGTAACATCGGACCTGTTCGTGGTGAAAGACTCATTCGCGATGCGAAACATGCACTTGAATGGCGTATCCTCGGTAACCGGCGGCTCGCGCTTGTCATTAGGGTTAGGATCGATCGGCGCCGCTCCCACTTGGATACTCACGTTTCTGTGGTGAATCGTACGCAAGCAACGAAAGCGTCAAATGAAACCGATGTGTGAAGAAGGGTAAGGATCAACGAGTCATCAAAGGTTGTATGGGGAATAAGGTGGCAAATATCCGCAGAATTAAAAGTTGTACTGTGTAGAACAAATTGGAACGCACGCACCGAAAGGGGAAACGTGGGAAAATCTTCGTGTGTGATCCCGGCTGGTGTGCCAAACAAACTATACCGAAATCTGCATGTAGTATAGGCTGGTGGCTACACAATGGGACGAAAATTACAACAAGACAAATATCATTCTCAGCAAGGATTTTCTGCTTTTCGAATACGGCCGTGTGCTTCAGTAGCAATTCAGACGGAATGTTTTTTGAAGATCAACCACTTGTGCTGACAACCGTTCCACTCTCGCGGTGCTCACTAACCACTTTGGCGGAAGATAGATACAGTCGGGGGGCGGCGGACTGCGACTAGCACATATCTACATGTACGTTAGCAGCACATCGAGGTCCCTTACGTCAAGGTGAGTGTGGTTGGGAACTCTTTTTGCGTGATGTCCTTGGGCCTGAACCGCACGAGGTGGGCGAAAGCTGGGCGGGATCCTGCACCAGCAAGCTCCGAGCCGAATTCGTTGTCTAGTTTGAGATCCGCCATTGCAACTAGACCTCTTGCCCGTCTCCAGCCTGCACCCATCAAGAGAGAAGCCAGGAGAACATGCGCAAAATTGCATATGGTCCGATGCCAAATTTATTGCAAGCAGGAACGGGTTTTTAATGTGAAGACAACAACAACAACAACGCAGGAGGCCAGGCCTTGCGAAGGTCACTGCTTGGATGTTTTGGTGCTACCGTGTATCGACCTCTTGCCTCTGTCAAAGCGGGAAGACGTTCATTCTTAGGCAGGAGACCACCGACGGCGGTATATTGGGCTATGCTCCAAGCAGGTCGAAGTCGCCATTTACTGGATTGTGTCGTCCGTAGGCGAACGCCCGCTGTTTCAAACTCCTTGACGTCGTCTGAACATTCATGATGACTCACTGGGAAGTACTAAGTACCGCAATCACGCCCGACCTCTTGAACAACCGCAACCACGCCCGGTCGACTCGCATCATCTCCTAAGTCAACCTTCCCAACGACAAACAGTTCGTTAAGGCACCTCCTTGCAAGCAGCATGGCGATGGGCTAGGCTAGCTTCGAGGGGGCCTTCTTTGTGGGCTGGCACAGCCACCGCCAGCTCTTGCATCATAATCACGTCGGGACATGCTCACGAGGCATTCCCCGGACCTCACGAAGTTTCCGAGAGAATCTACTCAGCGAAGCTCTACTCACATGCAACACAGCCTGAGCGTCGCAAGAAGAAGTCATGCAATGGCGTACTGTGTATTGGGACGCACGCAGCTGCAGGCTGCAGGTGACAACATGTCGACAACATTTTTTTGGGAAATGCGAACCGGTTGAGGTTACGCCGCCATTTGCAATTAGCAAAACACCTACTGTCCGTGAAATTCAAAAATCTCTCTTTCTTTGAATCGCTCATAGACGCCATAGAATCCTACATTGGCGATTTATGTCATGAACTCAAAGTGCCACGCGATGACATTGGGGAATGGGAGGATATTTTGTACGACGCGATTGAACAAAAAGTGACTGACGCGGACAAGAGGGAGGTTGCTAAGCCTCTTACGGGCCACATAGATTTTGCTGCAGCTAGGACATCTTTTCNTGCTACACACGCTGGGACTACATCGTTGTATCCATTTGAATTTATTGAGCAATACAGCATTGGTACAAAACGGTATATAGATGACATTTTTACGGTGCGATATGGTAACCAGACTGGACCAACATTTGAAGATATTATATATGAGGAGGTCAATCAATATGTATGGTGGTATATACCTAACGATGGTGTTAGATTCGAATGGTGATGAGATAGACAACCCCGTTCGCGTTACCCAAGAACAGTGTGAGGAATCAGTACACTTTCTGGATATGCAAATAGGGCAAGACATTCCTGGTAAGACTTGTATCGGTATGTATAATAAGCGCCAACATATGGCTACGCTGAAGCAATATCGGGCATTCCCACATTGGGAAACAGTGTTATCTACTAGGTGTAAGATGTCGACGTTACACTGTCAAATGTGCCGATTTGCTATTAGATGTACTGACATTCGATTTTTCCACGCTGCCACAGCCAGATTGATAGCTGACGACGTGCTTGCACGTTTCTATTCTAGTCGACTTATTATACGTAATACTTTACACAATTTCATGTATACCTTTTTTCGTACCTCGCCAGTGACTGCAAACATCGTGGGTGAAAATGCACCTATGGTGCGGAATTCATACTGGAAGAAAGTGGAGTTGGGTATTTGGAATCGAGTAGATGCGAATGAATTTGGTAGATTAGCCTGCGTGCGATTACCTTTTACTTTACTGGGTAGTGTCCCGTTTCTTTGTTGAGCAATTCCTGGAGTAGTGTTGTTGTGTTATGTTAAAATTTCGTTACATGTATATGTGCAAAATAAGAACGCCTGTTTAAAAATAATGACATAAAAATCATGTTCAAATTGCTTCTAGCGCTACCAAAATTGTACACGCATACTTTTGTAGGA